GAAAAAGGACAAACATCTCTAAAAATTTTTGGCGGGAAAATTTAATATTTGTTGCAATTTAATATTTGTTAATTTTTATGAAGACTTTGTTTGACACTTTTTATGATCTTTGATCATTCGATAAATTTTAGTTGGATTTTAAACATGAAGATGCACTAAAAATGTGCCTTCAAGTTTGTTTAATTTACCCTTTTGAAAAGCAATTGGACTCAAGAGTAATGTTTCTAGCAAGTTTAAAAAAAAATGAGATTTTTTGATAAAAAGTAAATTTGAAACACTTTCGCAACCATGTGCAATGTTAGGATTTATACAATAAACTAATCTAAATGACAAAAAAACATCAATCTATAAATGTCACTTACAGTAAGTCACATAAACTTTGGTTTTAAGCCATCATGCTTAAAAAAAGTTAAACAATTTTTAAATATCTTGTCTGGAAGTTTGTGAGTCATAATTTCGATTTAGAAATGTACGTTCTACATTAAAAAACTACAATATTTTGCAACTAAATTATCAGTGTTATCTCCCTGCTCCTTATTTCATCGCGCATTTGGTTTAAAATTTCTGTGAATTCTTGTGAATAACATTTGTGATTTGATGTTTAATCGTCATTTAGGTTAGTTTTTTGTATAAGTCCTGACGATGCACATAGTTGGAAAAACTTTTGATATTTTACTTTTTTAAATCAAAAATCTCTTCAATTTTGTTTGTAAACCTGCGATAAACCAAAAAGCGAAGAGCTTCAAATTTTTGCTGTTTTCCCATTAAAGGGCCAGTATTTACAAAACTTTAATGATTTTCATCAATGTTTAGGGAATTTTTTTAGTGTTTTTTTTATCGATACGTAGAATATGGCTGGTTCTTATTTGAGTTACCGAAATGTTTATATTGTAGCAGCTAGCACCCTGTTTCACTGCATCAACACTCTCAACAGACGTGAGAAAAAGCGATACGAGAGCCTTGTTACAGCAATTCCTGGCCTATCCTGAATAACAACTCGCTGAACTAACGAAAGAACCTCCGACGATTACTGGAGGACAGTCCATTGAAGGAGAAAAAGTGGTTATGTGGCACGACGTGGTGAACAACACCATTTGCAGCCACAGAACCAACAACTATCGCCCAGCCTGTGTAGAGGAGCTGAAAGACAATTTGAAGTCGAAGAGGCTGCAGATATTGGCGACCGTGTATTTCAGCAGGGAAGGAACGCCCGACTTAGTCAGCTACTCAGCACAGGAGTGCTCATTATTCCAGCATTAAAACGGCTACTCTCCAAGAGTAAACAAAATGACCCGGAGCAGCTCAAGGAATATCTGAAGCTGCATCAGAAAGCTGAATTGGAGCTGAAGTCTCTGCGATTGGTAGTGGCACACATAGAAAGACTGTCAGAACTGATTAGCAATATCAGGGGCAAACAACAGAGACCGTCGCAGAAAAAGAGGAAGGCGAAAGCAAGAAGTGAGCAGAAGCTGAAGGCAGAAGAAGTGTCTGCGCTTCAAAGACAGGGAAAGGAGAGTGTGATTTCATTTGCTTTGTGCCCTTGAGTATCATTACTCGTGGCCTGCAAAACAATGACCAAAGTACTTTTGCCTGCTGTTTGGCTCAGACAAATGTTAAAAAGAAAACTAATTTGGAAAATTGTGTTGACTATTTAAAATTCTGTACATAGGTTGAAATTTCCGAAAAAAATTCTGAAAAACGATCCAACACCGGATTTTTTGAAGTTTAGGGTCCCCGAGAATGTTTTTTTTGGACCTTGCTGTGCATAATTTTCAACTAATGCTACTAAGGACTGAAACTTCTCGGGCAAATGAGTACAGGAAAAGGTATGAGGAGATGTTAGTGAAAGCCCGATCGCTGGTGCGAAAAGAAATCGACGAACAGTAATGGGCATCCACTTTACGCTTCGTGAGGCGCGAAGTTGGGGCAAGCTTAAAAACAGCATCAAAAAGTCAAAGAAAAGAGATGAAAAAACTGTCCGAGAGACAAGATAAATCTCTTGGGGGAAAAATGAGCGATCAGTTAAGGTGAAGTTGAAAAACCAACAAACATCTAGTGAAACTTTATGTGAAATAGAAGCCGCGGCAAAGGCACATGCAAAAAAAGTAAGGCAAACCCAAGAGACAAAGCCGTTGAAAAATCGAGAAAAAAACTCAAAGATAATGGGTTGCTGGCTGTGCCTTTTGATAAGGGGGTTATTTTTTGCATAATGAGAAAAGAAACGTATGAATCGAGGCTGGAATCATTGTTGCAATCGGATCAGTTTTTGAAAAAAGATGCAACAACTGGTGAGTTTATACTGAAAATTGAGAAAGAATTTAACAAAAAAATTACTTGCCATGAACAAAAGAGACGAGATAAATGATCAATTATATTCTAAGATGAGGTCAACAGTGGGACAACCCGTCCGTTTGTACGGTTTAGCTCAGGTACACCAGGTTGAGACAAGTACTATCACCTCCGGGCAGCTCGTTTGAGAACCTTAAGAAAACGCTTGCATAGTTTTTTGACAATATCAATGGAGCCAAAATAGAAACCAATACTAAAGATGCCAGAGAAACAATTGAAAACATTGCTCTAGATCTGGATGAAACCATAACATCTCTTGATGTGAAAAGTTTGTACACGAATTTTCCCCTGAAGGAAGCAATTGCAATTGCCTTACAAAAGCTGTACAGCTAGGAGTCTCAACCATGAAAAACCTTTGAATATGGCGGTCAGCCAAGTATATTTCAAGTGTAATGACTCATGGTATGTGCAAGTTGATAGTCTAGTAACGGGCGCTTCCCTCGCTGTAATTCAGGCAAACCTATGGCTAATAGACTATGAGTTTGCTCCTACTCAAGAAATACCGGTGGCACACGGAGATACAGCTAATGAATGACAAAAACGATTTGTGCCCATGTTGCCGCAGGAAAGTAACATATAGATCAAAGGGGGTTGAATGCGAGAGTTGCGGAAACTGGTATCATCTAAAATGCGGAAAAATTTCTGATGATGTGTACGCATCAATAACCGAAATAGTCGGGTACTGTGAAAACTGCTGCCGCGCTAATAACAAGGAGAATGATACTCCACAAGTAAAATTGTTCCTCTGGTATGTGAGTGACATTGTTAGAACAGTCAGAGGTGAGCCGAGTTGTGTTCTCGATGCCGTCAATTCTCATCATCCAAATCTGCAGTTCACTCTAGAGGAAACTAAATCAGAGGGTAATTTTCCGTTCCTGGTTTGAACATAAATGTATCGCAGGATAGGGAGTAACCTGAAATTGGTATCAAAAAGCAACATATACTGCGACTAAACTGAACTGTAGAAGCTGCGCCCCAGCTCAGTTTAAGCGTAAGGTTATTCAAGGCAATGTACACAGAATTTTTATGAGTACATCTAGCTGGGAGCAATTTGATAAGGCAATAGAAACTAATAGGGCGCATTAGCTGAAAATTCAGTACCATGAAAATTTATCCGCAAAGGTGGCGGCAGAGACCTTGTGCAAAATTATCGAGGACTAGGGCAAGCCCCTTGATAGTGAGAGGAGTTTGTCAACTCAATCACTAAAGGGTGTGAAGCCTTCAATGCTGATGGTGCAATATAGAGGTAACCAAAACCAATATTTTGCAAGCATGTGACGAAAAGAGTGGTTTATAAACTGTCATGCACTTCCACCTATGTCGGACAAACTATTCGAAATTTGACAAATAGAAAGAAGGATCATAAAGCAGACTCACCGGTAGGCCTCCATCTTCAGCAATGCACTCCTGGGGGAAATAGCGCAGATCTTAGTTGGAAAAATATAGATAGGTCAAAAATCAAACAAAACTTAACACTAGAGGCAATACATATCAGGAAAGGGAAATCGGGCTTGAACATGCGCGATGAGTTAGGAGCAGGGAGTTAACACTGGAAATTTAGTCCCAAAATGTTTTTGGTTTTTAATTTAAAACGTTCATGTGTAAATCGAAATTATGACTCAGAAACTTCCAGACAAATTAATTTGAAATTGTTTAAATAACTTTAGAAGTTAAAAGTATTTTAATCTAAATAATAGTTTTGGAACTCAACTGATTGGCTAAATTTTTTAACATGATAGTTTAGATACAAAAATTTTGTGATTTATTGTAAATAATTTTTGTAAATTGATGTTTTATCGTCATTTAGATTAGTTTATTCTAAAAATCCTGACGATGCACATAGTTGCGAAAACGTTTGAAATTCACTTTTTTCCAAAAATCTCTGCGATATATCTAGCGTGTTTCCTGCGATTGTAAACTCAGCTGTTTTGATTTCTGATTTCTGTTTTTGCGAGAAAAATGTTTGCAAGTCCAATTCGAAATTTCAAGAATTTTAATCCACATCGAAAACTTCTTATCATGAGCGACTGGCACATACGGGGACCGACCTTTAAGCGGACCGACCTTTTACCACAAAAGTTATAACATGGACCTTTTACCAGACTCGATAAACAAATTTAATTGACAGATGTAATGACGCCGTTTAGTATGGTTAAAGACAATGATTTCACGGTTTCTCAAAAAAGTTTTATTTGTTCTAGCCGCTTCCTTTTCAAATCGTCCACTAATTTTAACTTATACTAATCGAGTTATTGCATTGTGGTCTGGTAAAAAGTCGGTCTGGTAAAAGACTTAGCCCCGGCACATATTTTCAGAAAAGACGCATTGCTTTACAAAGTAAATATGAAGCATACTAGCAAATTTTTTTTCATTTGGTAGCTTAAAGTCTTTGATGAAATACGGTCCGTATCAGGAAACTTGTAATCTTTGTGTAAAGTATTATCTGAGCTCGATTACCTAAGTTTTATTCCCAATCTGCTTGATACTGAAAATGTAGTTTAAAAGTAATTTTTGTAGCCTCGCAAATTTTGACCTGTTCAATAGTTTAAAAACATCGGTTTCAGGTAGTGAAGAAAAGCACCTTGACATTGATATTGGTTGTGTTTGTTTGCAATTGCAATTCCCGGATTGATTTTTCAAATTTCAGGTAGAAATGCTTGCTTTGTGTAATGTTTCTGTGTTGAAGTCGTGTCCATAATGTTAGAGCCATGTTGCCCGAGAGAATTTGGAAAATTTTACGCCAGTACATAGCGTTCCATGAACTGCTATGTATCTTTGGTTTGTCCGTGACAGTGTTCCTTGGTGTTTTCTGGTTTATTTACACCTCTATGGTGACTGCAAATGTCGAAGCCATACATCGGTTAGATTTTTATTCTATGCATTGTGGTCTTATTAGTGAACGTCTTGCTAAAGAAATTGATGACCTTAATTTGATGAAGGAAAAACTATCGTACGAAGTTGCACTGTTAGAGGGAAAGCGAAATAATGATTTGGCTACCTATAAACAAGTGCAAGCAGAAATGATTAAAATAAAGAAAGAGAAAGTTGTATTATCAAATGAAATGGCTGTTTTAACCAACTCTTTTCAAAGACTGCAAAATGAAATGATTTATTCTTCGAAAGAGTTATCGATTAGCAAAGCTGATATAACAATAGAGTCCAGTGAATTGGTTAGAAAAACAAATAAAGATACACTAACACTCGACCAAATGCTGGATCACAAATCATACTCGTGCTGCCAAGCTTGCCTTTTCTCATTTTACTTGATTAAGCCAAAATTAATGCCAGACGATAAAATGCACAGAGATTTTATTTACGCTTTAGAAGGGTCAAAGTATAGAGTACTTGACCCTACATCAGCATGTTTGGTTATATCCACAGGAAATTCAAAAAATCTCGACTCTTTAGAAAATGTAAATCATTATAACCGTGTCCACTTCGTCCCTTCTTTCGAACGAATAACCGCCCATAGTTTTCCTCATTTTTCTTTAGTTGGACACGAAATAGTGAATTGTAGAATTAGTTTCGATTTAGTTATACCAATTCTTACCTTGACCAATAATCTAAGTGATGAATCGTCCTTCAAAAAGCTATCTCCGTTCGTGCCTTTAAAGCGTTACATCTTGGTGTCTTTCGAATCTTCTTTACCTATGAATTATAGCTCACAATATTCTGAATTAAGCAAGCAGTTATCGCGTGCAGTTGCTGGCAATAAAATAGTTCTACGGTTTAAGAGTAAACAAAGCAATGAAAAAGTTTTGAATTATACTGATCTAACCGGAACTTTAAATTCGCGGATCAGTTTATTGTCAAATTCAACATTTGCATTAGTGATTGGTTCTTCCGTATCCTCAATTCAAGCTCGTTTGATCGAGTCATTATCGCAATCAACAGTGCCAATAGTTTTATCTTCTGATGTAAAAGTTCTTCCATTCTACGAGTTCATTGATTGGAGTTTGGCTGCTGTAGTAATAGCAGAAGAGCAAATTCCAAACCTATCAAATATTTTGAGTTCTTTGTCCGACAACGATTTGATGGCGTTAAAGAAGCAATGTCGCGATATCTACATGATGTATTTTTTCAATACCGAAGCAGTTGTAAATGCGTCACTTGAGGCTTGGAGGTTCAGATTAGGCCTGCAAGCAAACGCAGCGACGAATTATTTCTCGCCTCATGTAAGTTACCTACAATTGATTGATTGCAACAATACCGTTTGTGCAATGATTTTTTCCTTTTTTTTTCAAAATAGCTTTTAAAAAAAGTCCAATGCCGTTTTTGGGCAATTTGTAGAAACTTTTGTCTAAAAAAAATATGTTTTTCGGTGGGCTCTACTCAATCAAAATTGCAATGCCTTCAAAAAGGGTTGTATCAAATAGAGACAAGGTTGCAGCTAGATAGAAAACAGAAATTCTAAACTTTGAGGCAATAAGCCAATAATTTTTGACGATAAAACTTTGACATCGTTTTAATCAATTTTTATGGACTTCAATTAAATATCAACAGGCCTTGGAAGTCTGTTTTCAAATTGAAATAAAAAGTGTTTTTATAGTTGTTTTCAACATCTAGCGGCTGGCTTGAACCCGTATCAAATAGATTATTGAAAAATGCATTGAACTGCTTGGTTTTCAGAAGAAAACAATTTCTCATCCTGGCTTGTCATCTAACTCGGACTACCTCCTCAACGCCAGAGACTCACCTCAATACCCGTCAAACTACTCTTTCCTCATGAACCAGCACAAACTGTGGAACAACTTCCCTGGTCCATTCTGGGCTTACCCTCAGGATCCGGCTAGAGCATTGTTACCCAGTGAAGCGAAATTTAAAGGATCTGAAAAGGGGTTCAGACCAATTAATTTCGGAAAGGGAGGCGACGGGAAGTACTTCAAGCTAGCTCTAGGTAATTAACGAAATTCACAATTTGTTCACCTGTATTTTCATTAAGCATTTATGTAACGCCAAGATTATGAATTTTGAGACGATATGGTCCTCTAACTCCTGAAATAAGTTATCTGTTTTATGAAAATGATTTCATGGCATGAGTATTACGAGGTACCTGGCAACCGAATTAGTTTTCCCAATCGAGGAATCGAAGAACTGAAGTTTATCAAATATCTAACATGTGAAAATAATAGAATTTTGATATATATTCACGCTCTTAGATATTAATTCACGCTCTGAAAGTAGTTGGCCTGGACTGCTGCAAAGAGTTTACGGCTGAATTTTTAACTTAAGATCAGTTAAAGATGGTTCAAATGCAAAGAAATGTTTTTTTTTTGTGCCGAATTTCAAAGAAAATCAGGAATATATACGCTTGGGTGGTTTTTTTATTCACACCTATTCCACAGAAATATGACAGTATGCGGATCGATCCTGGAGATGTAGGATTGCCAAGCGTTTCCGCTTGTGTTATGACTACTGCTAAGTTTCTGACAGGAACATTGACCTTGAGCATTTTAAACGGTCAAAAAACCTTTTTTGGGTTAATTAGGTTTTCGACACTGTTTTCTACGCTTTCAAATGAGTTTAACAATGATCTCCGGTGTCAAAATGAGCAGTGTTAGGTTAGTTAACGTCGTTCAGATTCGTTGATCTAAAGGGATTTTTGTACCAAATTGGCATGAACTATACTTAGGTGGAGATATCGAAGCGGAATCGTTCACAATTCTGATTCTAACTTACAAAAGGGAACAGATGTTGATGCAGATGATTAAGGACTTCGACAAACTGCCAAATCTGCACAGTGTCATTGTGGTGTGGAATGCACCTGGCAATGTGTCGCACAATCTAGTCTGGCCAAGCATATCAGCGCCCATACATGTAAGTTCCGTACTCGTTGCTTGAGGGCGAGGCTTTTTGGTAAATCTATTTTCAATTTGTTTTACTCAGGTTATGAGGACATATTTTCTTCGGAGCAACTGTCGTCTAAACAAGTTGTGGCAGCATAGATACCACTTTTTATTTTTGTTCTAATATTAGCTTAAGGCCTAAAATTATGACATTTTAGCTCAACGACTAAAGTTTTGCTATAGGCGGTGTTATCTTCGGTGTTATCTAAAAATATATAAAAAAAGAGTTTTGTGTTTTTTGGGGGATGCCTGTGAACGCACTCATTAGGATAATAATCGCGACAAAGTAAATTTTCCATGTATTAGCATATGATTACGATATTTTGGATGCTGTGGACTATTTGACAATGAACGTAGTTAAGAGTCTTATATAGGTCATGATGATTTTCTTGTTTTTTTTTTTTTAATATAAATCTTAAATACTGTTCGCAATCAAATTTGATTTTTCGCGGTTTGTTTTTTGATTTTTTCGAAGTTCAGTTTATTGATTTTGATAAAAGATTGTCAAACTCCGCTATCGAACAGAAAAAGAGTAAAGTTGATCACCAAAAACGTGATCAACTTCTAATTTCGAAAGAAGATTTTGTTTTCCAGATTTCCTGCGGAATAAAATTTTTATCTGTTGATCGATTTTTCACAACTGAGTTAATATCATCAAAATTGTGTCATTAATAAATTTGTTTTGAAGTTTAGAATTTAAAGAGCATATATTCTTCTCAGTGAACTTCGAAAGTTGACATTTTTTCACAACACAAGTCTTATGTTTTCTTGCGTTCATTAAATCTTTTCCAACGTGCATTTGCTTGAACGAGTAATGAACGCAGTGAAGACTTTTATATAGGTTTTGCTGATTTTTTTTGTTTGTTTTTTTTTTCAGGAAATAGTATTGATGCACTTAGGTATATGCACTTTATGAGTTCAATTGAATTTCATCTGCTGAATCCTGTACAGAAAGTGGAATTTAATCTTTAAATTTCCAGCGGAATAAAAACTTTACTTATTGATCTAGTTTTCTCTAGTTGCGTTCATGTTATCAAAAAAGCGCCAATCATAAATTGTTCTAGAAATTCAAAGGGCTTAAAGAGCATCTAATTTTTTTCTTTTAAATTCGAAAGTTGAGATTTTTTTTAAAAAAATCAGTGTTTTTTTTATGTTTACTTGCGTTCCTTACTCTTTTCCAATCTTCGATTGGCTATGTTTTGAATGATCTGATTGATTTTAGTGAAGGCCGCCGACAATGAATGTCTCTTAAACATGGAAATTAAGATAAATGATGAACGTCGATTTATCAGCACTTTTTATCGAACCGGTTATCATTTTTGACTGCAACGTTTATTGACTCTTTTCCAACTTGCGTTTGTTTTGAATGAATTGACTGATGCTTAATGAGTTCCCCTATAATGAATGTTACTGAACGTTTTTGAAACCTGGAAATTGAGTTAATTGTTGAACTTCCTCGTAATGTTCAAAAAATGTATTGGAAAAAAGGTACGTGAAATTTTAATTTACGAGATTAGATACCGGATCATAAATGACAATACATCATATACTAATTTTGAGAGTGGAGTGTGTCCGATAAAAAGTTTATTTTGTCGGACATTCCAAAAAAGCTCAAGTGGTATTTTGGCAATTTTCTCTTAAGTTTGCCTGAGGCAAAATAGGGTCTGTATAGTGCTTTAGTTGAGCTAAGTTTTCAGACCATATTTTGGCAAAATAGGGTCTGCATAAGGCTTTAGTTGAACAAAAGTTTGGGTCTAAAATTGGCTAGAAAAGTTTTGAAACGTAATTGTTGCCGAATATGATTGAAATTTTTCCTTTCATATTTCGTTTTCTTCGCTTCGTAAAACTGCCCTAAGTTTGCTTTCAAGTTTCAACACAATCAATAATTGTTTTCTGTCATGAGTATTGCGACAACTTTTGCCTAATAAATTTCTTCCAAGGTTTTGTCATTGTTTATCAGGTAGTGAAGGGACCAAAGAATAGTTTGAACAACCGATTCTTGCCTTACGATGAGATCAAAACAGAAGCAGTTCTGTCACTGGACGATGACATGGTACTCACACACGAAGAGATATTGCTCACTTTCAGGTCAGATATAACACGTTTAAGTTAGCTTACGTATGGATAGTTTTGTCCTCATCATGCTCATGATAAATCAGGGGAAATGTCTATAAAGATATGAATAAATCATTAGAGATATTAAAGATACTTGTTTACTGTGCAGATAAGTAGCAGACAATGTTCCCGCTACTGATTTTGTGTGCTTGGCGCAAATTTTGTCGAACTTTCGTAAAACAAATTTTTAAATTTAAGTACTTTCAAAACATGCATACCCCTCTAATTTATAGCATGAATCTTCACATAATTTTTGTAAATCTGATTTAACTATTATTAAAATGTAAAAGAATGAAATGATTGTCACTTATTTGGTTCGTGGTGATTTTTTTTTTGTAAATAGACTAAGTTTGTTCACGCTCAAAATTTTTCACGATTTTAGGGTGTGGCGTGAGAACAGGGACAGGATAGTGGGCATCCCTGCTAGGGTGCACTCGTGGGACAGTGACTCACTCTCATGGACTTACAACAACTTCCTCACCTGCGAGATATCTCTAGTACTCACTGGCGCTGCATTCGTTCACAAAGTTAGTTGATGTAGTTTTTGTTTCGAACAGGTCACTGAAAGTGACCGGAAGGAGTTATGGCGTTGGATGGGTGTTTTGGCCGGAACAATATCAGCTTTTTTCAACATCAACCGGCTATCTTTGATTATTAACGGCAGAGATATTATACGTAGCATTATTCTGATCTTTTCCAATACTAAGCTTAAGTTTGATTATTTTTTTTGTAAATGAAAGAATTCCGCTTTTTGGCTCTGAGTGGAAATGCATAATAGTGTGTTTTTTGTGCAGTACTACTTCTACCTGTACACTTACTCGATGCCCAGTGTCATCAGAGACAGAGTGGATGAGTACATGAACTGCGAGGACATCGCACTCAACTTCCTCGTGTCACACATCACCAGAAAACCACCAATCAAGGTTACTAATTCTAATTCCACCAAACAGACGGTAACAAGTGTTTTGGCACCCTCGTGTGAGCTTTTTCAAGCACCACCTTTTTCCAAAGATCTCATCCTACATTCACAAATTTATTATTTTTTCCTTATCAGCTAAAGGCAACTCGCGTGTTTGAATTCCCTTCGTATTTGCCATAGGTAAGCGTAGTACTATTTTTTGTTTCATGAACACAAATTGTCTGTTGTTTTTTAGGTGGCCTTTAATGTAGTTCAGACTCTCAAGTTTACTTTTTCGCGGTTTGGCTTTTGAGTTCTTTTAAGTTCAGTTCCTTTACTTTGTTAAAAGGAAGGCAAACTTCTCTATCGATTATCAATAATGTAAATGTCACAATAACGTGATCGACTTCTAGTTTCGAAAGTGGATTTTAATTTTCAGATTTTCCAGCAAAAAATACCTATTGATCCAATTTTCTGAAATTGGGTTAGTTTTATCAAGAGCCAATCATGAATTGTTTTAGAAGTTCAAAATGCTTTAAGGCCATCTTTTTTGTTTCTTTAAAATTTGAAAATTGAGATTGTTTCAATAAATAAGTCAGTATTTTTTTCTGTTTACTTGGCTTTGTTGACTCTTTTCCAACTGTCTGTTGGTTACGTTTAATTTTTTCAATATGATGGAATTTATAGATCGGATTGGAATAAAATTGTGTACAATTGAGAGAGCAACAGTCGGGAAGGAGACTTTTTCTAGCTAAAACCAACTTATAGAGTCACTTCTTGGAATAAAATGACCCTTAGCAAATGATGAGTTAAACAAAATGTTAGCGTACGTTTCGTGCAAATTTTCTTATTTCAAAATTCCGTTACTTTCTGAATATGTTTTTATGTTGGTTGTAAATATACAAACTTATTATTGGTCAGACTAAGTTTCGGTTTTAATGTTGTTTTTAGACTTTGTCTCGACCTATGTGTTGTGATTTTACATCAGGTTTTGCAATTATTGCTAAACATACTTATTTAATTAACCGGTCACTTAGTTATGACCTTCACTAGCCATTCTCTCCGGCGGAGAGAATGATCTCTCATTGTTTTAATGTTTTAACTTACCGACTAATTCATATTATTTCTTATTCTTTTTAATAGTTTTAATTTAGAATTAGCTACAACAAAGTAATATTTTATCATGGCGCAGTCATCTAACGAATCTAACGTGAGAGGAATACCTCCCTTTTGGCAAAACCATACGGTAGACCCACCCATCCCTTGGGAAGATTGGAGTGATCTGTTTCAATTAGCAATTATAGCTAAAGAAAACATAGATATAGAAAATCTACTCAATCCGTCGGAGAGACAACATCCATTACCACCAAATTTGGAAAACCCACCGGACGGTGAAACAGACGCCCAAAGACGCTTGAGATTGGAGAGAAATATCCAAGAACAAAGAAGATATGACGAAGAAGAAACAGCTTCGATAAAAACCGAAACTAAGAAATTTAACGGAATGCGAATAGAAGAAGCAGACAAGAAATTACGATCAGTCTTATATCTGGCATTGGGAAATGAAGGAAAAAGGATCTTCGGACAGAAATTTACCAAGGTGAAAGTCTTACAAATTTCTTTTAAACAATTCTGGGAGTTTTTAGCGACTGCTTTCGTAAGAAAATCAAACGTCACATTTGAACGACATAAACTGTTAAATAGAAAACAACGCGACAGAGAATCCCTCGAACAATTTTGGGGTGCCTTAGCTGAAATGGCTAAAAAGTGCGACATATCCGCAGGAGAAGAAGAGTGGATAAGAGATATTTTCATAAATAATATGAAAAACTACGATATACAAAGGAAATTATTAACAGAAACCCTCCCTCCACGCGAAGCACTAAATGTAGCACTTATCGATGAAAAAGGAATTTTAAATCACTTGAAGTTAACTAATAATTTTAAATCCAACGGATCATCTGTACATAAACCAAACAACCATTTTAACGTCAAAAGAGAACCAACTCTCAACATCGAAAGAAGTAACAGCTGTATGAAGTGTGGCGGTTCATTCTCAAAAGGACACTTAGCAGTGTGCCCAGCAAAGGACACAACTTGTACTTCTTGTAAATTCAAAGGTCATTTCACCAGACTTTGTAGATCTCGACGTAAAAATGTAAACATTGTAAATACCCAAATTGTAGATAATACAGATTTTAATCCGTCGGATTTCCCGGATGTAAATACCGACCACACGGATAGAGAATGTTGCGGTGTCATAAACGCATGGTCGGAATCTGGACAAAGTGAAAACGACGATTACTCTGTACTAAATATAACTACAATTTTTGATAACGATGGAAAGGAACTGAAGAAATTATTAAACATCGGACTCGGAAAAGAAAACCAAGTAATTTTAAACATTCAAGTGGATTCAGCTAGCCCAGTGAGCTTTCTTAAGAAAAACGTACTTCACGAATTGAAATTACGTGATCCATACTTGAAAATTTATCCGGTGGATAAGACAACCAGAGACCTTTACTGTGGATTCACGGATAATGCCATAAACATCACTGGAAAGGTCAAGATTCCGATATTCTCAAATGGTTGGTCAGATAACGACTGTCAATTCTTCTTAACCGAGGGACATGAAAGGAACATCTTAGGAAACGACAACCTTCCAAAAGTGGGAATAGAGGTCTCTCAGAAACATTTTCCACACTTCCAGACCAACAAGCAGTGTAAGTCAGTAAATTCCATTTCCCAAACAAACCAAGATAGGGAAATCCTTAATATATCAAAGTCATTTAAAAATTTATTCCTTCGGATTGAAAAAATTAAGAATCAAATGAAAATTACCCATTTTCACGAACCATTAAAACCAATCCAACTAAAAGGAAGACGTGTCCCCCTACATTTACTGGATGCGGTAAAAACAGAACTCAATAGATTAAAAGCAGAGGGACATATTAAAAAATTAGAAAATTGCGACGAAGACAGATTTATTAGCCCAATAGTCATCACTTGCAAAAAAGACAAATCTATCAAACTGGCATTAGATTCCAAGTTCATAAACAAACAGATTTACAAGAACAAATATCAAATGCCAAACATCCATGAACTTGTAGACAACGTCGCGGCACAAATTACTAATGATTCCGTTGGAGAAGTGTGGTTTACTAATCTAGACTTAAAAAATGCATACAGTCAATTAGCATTAGACAAATTTACTAGTAACCAATGTAACTTCAGTATTGTGGGCGGTGACATTACTGGTACTTACCAATTTTTAACTGGTTTTTACGGCTTAGGGGATATGCCCAACGAATTTCAAAGAGTAATGGACTCTACGTTAGGTTCAATCCCATTTACAAATTGTTACTTGGACGACATTTTAATTTCTTCCAAAGGAACATTCTTAGACCACAAGAATATTGTATTAAAAATTCTATCGACCCTCGACGAATACAACTTTGCCGTAAAATGGTCAAAATGTAAATTCTTTCAAAAAGAAATAGAATGGTTGGGATTTAAAATCTCTAAATCAGGAATTACCCCGTTATTCGACAAATCGAAAGCTATCAAAGACCTACCTTTACCGAAGAATCTGAAAGAATTACGATCATTTTTTGGTTCTATAAACCAATACATTAAATTTGTCCCAAACCTTGCATCCTTAGGAAGCCCACTCCGACCGCTCCTAAATAAGAAATCAATATTCCAATGGAACGATGATCATACAAAAGCGTTTGAAAGAATAAAAGAGGAAATCGTTAATTTAACAGAGAATACACATTTCGATGTAAAACGAAAAACTAGAGTGAAAACAGACGCATCACACAATGGACTTGGAGCCTCGCTGGAACAACTCCATGGGAACGATTGGAAAACAATCTCATTTGCGTCACGTTTTTTAAATCCTCACGAGTCCAAATACTCTACTAACGAACTCGAACTTTTAGGGGTTGTTTGGGCTGTTGAGCATTATAAAAATTACCTTTACGGCTCTGATTTCGAAATAATTACTGATCACAAGGCCCTATTATCCGCTCTTTCACCAAACCACGGAAATAAAACCTACCACAGTAGATTAACAAGATGGGTAGACAGATTATTACCTTTTAATTTCTCAATCAAACATATCGCAGGAAAAGACATGGGCTTCACTGACCTTATTTCTAGAATCCCATCCGGAAAAGCCCTTCCAACTTCACATTACGACGAAGAATTCGTAGTAGCAAACATTAATAAGATTAATAAATCATTAAATCCGTCGGAGAAACTAAGAAATACCTGTTCAGCCATTGGTCACAATTTGGAAAATTCCGATTACGTCTTATTACGTAATTACTTAATAGCAGCAGTACTAAAACTTATTAACTCGTCTTTTCCAATTTGCTCATTCAATCACAGAAGAACAGAATTTTGTACATCAAATTGTATTCCAACGGATTATTCCAACACAAATACTTTAATTATTTCCATTTCAAATTCCGCATTTCTTTATTTTTTAATTCTTAATTGTAGCCTAATTAATTCACCTGTAGATAAAAAAATTGTAGATACTGTTAATATGAATAATAAGAATATTGTAATTAATCCCACCACTTCCGGTATTTCCGTAGATTTAATATTCAAACTTTTACCAAATCATATCAATCTCGTTAAAAAATACCGTGAAAACTTGAAGTTGCCGGATCGACCCTTGGATTTAAATATTTTATTTAACGCCAAGTTAGTGGCTCTCTTGACAGAAGACGATCCAATGTTAAGCCCTATTGTTAAAGCACTTCAAAATAAGGTGGAGAAGATTAATGCAGATTCTCCTTACTTCAAACATTTCACCCGAGATCTTCACGAATCCGATGGATTACTTTACATGGACGGCAAACTCGTTATTCCATTTACCCTACGAAACGCGATGATGAAGACCCTCCACGAAACCCATCCAGGTCAATTCGGAATGAAATATTTGGCCCAATACATTTGGTGGCCGCACATTAATAGACAAATCTGCTTTCATGGAATTAATTGCTCAGAGTGTACATCGGCGGGTAAGAACATAAAATCTGTTATCCCTAATTCACAAATTAGTGAACTTCCTCCATTATCAGAACCAAATGAAGAACTTGATTTAGACTTCGCGGGTCCTTTGGATTCTTATTGGGGGTCAAATAAATACATTTTACTTTGTATTGACAGATTTTCTAAATTTCCGTCGGCAAAAATTACATCATCCACCTCTTCAAAAACAGTTATAGAATTTTTACAAGACTACATATTCTTACACGGTATACCTTATTCTATAAGGGTGGATCATGCTACTTGCTTTACAAGTCAAGACTTCAAATCATTCTGCGATTCTAACAACATCAAAATAATCTTTTGTACAGTAGGCGATCACCGATCCAATGGATTAGTCGAAAAACTCGTACACACTGTAAAAGTCAAACTACTGGCCATCTCCAAAGAACATCATAAAACCACGCTACAAAATGCCGTTTCAAAAATCATTTGGAACCTACGTTCTACTTTCCAATCAAAAATTAAATGCTCACCTTTCGAGATCCACTATAACAGAAAACCAAATACTATTTGGAAACAATTAGCTTCGGGTAAACCTTCCTTTGGAATTTTAGACAAAGGGAAATCAATACTGTCTAAGGATCGAGCTAAGGATTGGAACGCGGATGATAGAATCGAGGACGGATACAAGGACGATCTGATTGCGAAGAAGAACCAAAATCCGACTGAAAAAGGCTACGATACAGATTATGCCTCATCCTCGAAAACGACTCAAAACAGAAGACCAATCGAAAGCCCTTTTAAAGGTAAAATCCTTCGGAAAACTAATGGTAATATCAACCGAGATTGTTTTTATAAAGAACTAAACAAAAGAATTATAAATTCTTCGACTTCGACAGTTAAGTTATCCGACGGAAAAATAATACGAAAATCCGACATTGCGATTCCTATCTCTACCTCAAATAAAATCAGACCTTTTAGAGGAAACATTTCATTCCCTTACTTTTCTAACCCTAATGTTGAAGTAGGTCAAAAACTGGAATGCTCAAAAAGAAAACCAAAACCCAAGAAGCCAACAAAAAGAAGGAACAGACAATTAGACCAGACATCATCGGACAACCTAACTAGGACACGCATTTCTGGACCATCATCCATCCCGACAAGAAGACAGACACGACGCTCAAAGAAGCCACCAACTCCTCCAGGTTACCTTGCTTCGGATGAATCTATGCTAATTCCTTCGGATATTTCGGATACTAGCGAATGGGAATGGATAGCGGGCGGTTTTCCTTGTAGAGACGTAGCCAGAGAGCGCTTTATTTCGGATTCACATACACCTCACATATCACTCGGAAATAACTTTAACTCTTCTATAACCAATCCTGAAATAAAATCTGAGATTTTAGAAAACGACAGTTTCCCAATCTGTGAACAACCCATGGATCAATCATACGAGTGCCCAATAAGTATAGTGCCAGCCAGCCGAACATCTAACCCGACGGATCAGAGAACCGTGAATCAGGGAGGGGAAAATGACACCATTGGACAAAACGACCCACAAGTGGAGCATAATCTGACGGAAACCGACTCAAACATAAACTTTCCGGTGTATGAGATAAGCGACTCAACGGATGAGTGCGCTATATCCAACAGTCCTGCCATAATACCCGGTAAAATTCCTACTACTATTCGCCGCTCTAGTAGAAACGTCGGCCCACCAAAATTTTATGGTAAACGTCACTTCATTGATGCCGTAGAGAGTGTCCAAGAAGCCTCTGGTTCGGCGGCCGAGCCTATTGTGTTAGAGATTGAGGAACCACATGAGACTATCAACAGGACGAATCCGGCGGAGTTAATTGTTCTAGATTCAGATTCATCATCTTCATCAGATCAAATGTCAAACTCATCAACCGACGAATCACTGAGAATGGAAATAGCAAATTTCGGCGAACACTCTGATCTTGATAGTGAACTTTTCAACACCGAACTTGAAAACTTTTTAAAAGATTATAAAACTTTATAACCACGTAGATATACTTTAATCTGATATTCCGGCTTACCAAATAACACACATTACTGAGTAAACCGGTGCTAACATTCAGATATTAACATCTGCTCACTAAACTTGAGAACTTAATCCTGCGGATAAATTTTCATGTAGAAGACATTTTCAAGTGTCCTCCTAATTTCCTTAATTCGCATACACTCCAGTTTGTGTTTTACAAACCAAGACCTCCTCCATCAAAATTTTGTGCTATCTAGGTATTTTACCTTGTAAACCGGTGCTAATTTCCAGTTACCAAAAAGTGTTTGCTAAATTTGACAACTTTATCCTTCGGATAAATTTCACCCGTCAAAAGAAATTATTATCTGTTGATCCCATAATTTCTTTAAATCATATCCTCTTCACTCACGCATTATAAACTATGACCTCACTCATAAAACGTGGTTTTAAATTTCAGCGTTATGCCATAACGTGATGCCGTACCTCATCTTAACATAACCCTTATCCATCGGAATCTGGATAATCTTTGTTCTTTCATTTAACACTAGTGGAGCTTACTTAGTGCTAGTACCTCATCTCAAGGCGCTCTAATTTTCTTTCCTAGTCCTTAAAGGGGGAGAAAGGAGTCAGTCATAGTTAGTTATTGTGCATTACTTATTACAATTTAAATTTTTTCCTGCTTAGGGGAATGTTGTGATTTTACATCAGGTTTTGCAATTATTGCTAAACATACTTATTTAATTAACCGGTCACTTAGTTATGACCTTCACTAGCCATTCTCTCCGGCGGAGAGAATGATCTCTCGTTGTTTTAATGTTTTAACTTACCGACTAATTCATATTATTTCTTATTCTTTTTAATAGTTTTAATTTAGAATTAGCTACAACAAAGTAACATTTTATCACTATGTTTCAATCGATCTCAGGACTAAGATTCCTCAAAGGTCGCAGGTCAAAGAATAGTGCTATATTTTTTTGCATGAGCTTGAAGCTGAGAGGAGCTGGGTTAAAACTTAAAATCACATGTGAGCTTAGCAAGTTTAATGCAAAGTTGCCGTTCTTTTTCTCGTCTGCTGGTTTCTATGCCCATATATAATTTTCAAAACCAGTTCAAAGTTATGGTTCAGGAAATTCGGTTCAGTATCCTTTGCCTAAAGTTTTTTATGGTACGACATTTTATCTATTGTTAAGAGTCGATGAACGTATTGAAGACGCTAATAAAGGTCCTTATTTTATTAAGGAAAGTTTTAAAATATTCACGCTCAAACTTAATCTTTTTGCTGTATGACTTTCGATTTCTTGGTGATTTCAGCTCATTTTCTTTGTTTAAAGCAAGTCAAACTCCATCATCGAGTAGTGAAAATGGAAAGTTATGAAAAAGGTGATCGACTTCTAATTTCGAAAATGAAGTGAAATATCAGATTTCCTAGCGAAATTTTTTTTTCTACATATTGAGCCAGTTTTTTTTAAATAAGGTTATTTTGATCCAGTTTTTTCAAATAGGGTTAACTTTATCAAAAAAGTGACATTCATTAATTGTTCTAGAATTTTATAGAGCTTATCAAGTTTTTCTTGGAATTTCTAGTTGAATACTAGTTAAGCGAGTATAAATTATCAAGTATTGAAATGATTGTTCTCAGACTTGTATTTCCTCAAATTTTTAAAGACTGTATACTTTCTGTACGTTTTTTTCCTCGTCTTTTTTCCTGGATCATTTGGGGAGTACATTGAGAATGGGGTAGTCGAGGAAGTCCACTGTTTCCGCCTCGCTTCTCTCCTCAAACTCAACTAGAGTGAGGATGAACTTAGTTGAGTTGCGGATGCCTTTGGGGACATAGAGAGTTTGTTGGGGTCCCTCGGTGGGCCAGTACCTGTTGGAATAGGTTGAAATTTTAGGATTATTTTGTCATCCAGGGTTAGCAATCGGCTTCATGGTACTTCGCTCATTGACAGTTTTCTAACTCTTTTTTGGCTTTGCTTATGTTTTTTTTTGTTTTAATTGGTTTATATCGTTTCGTTTTATTTTAAATTGGCTTTATAGTCACTTTATATTGCGTCGTTTGATTTATGCTTTTGGGGATTTCGGGTGGGGTTAGGCGGAAAAATATCGGGTTTCCAGTTCTGTAACCTTAAGCAGTGCAAAGTTTCAGATCTAAAAATCATATCAGGGATACAATTACACGTAAACGCTTACCACTTCTGCATAGTTACTGCCTTCGTTTTTCTTCAAATTTATGAAAATTTTACGTTTGTTTTGTTGAATTCGTCGCAGTGTTACTTTAATCTATCCAGGGTTTTAAAAATGTAAGAACTGAAAAAGCAGGTATTATTTTCATCTTTTCATGATTTTTTCACCTTCCGAGGTTGAAGTTATCCACCAATGCGACTCCTCTGGAAAAAGAGGTGAAGTTGAGAAAAGTGTCTTCCATGTCCATATCCACCTCCGCCTGGTACACTATGGGCACTGGGGCCACTGAGGGGGGTACATCGGGGGGAGGCAGGATCTGGGATCCGAGTCCCTCCAGTTTGAGGTGGATCATGTCCCATTCTTCGAGAATCCTGAAATGCATAATATAGTGGTTTTTTTAACGATTCGCGAGAGGAACCTAAAATTGTGAATAATATCACCCTCCGCTTTAGGTACTTTTCTTTCTACGAGACGGGTTGGTACTTGAAGAACGTTCTTAGGGGTAAAGTTCGGTATCATATCGAAGCGCTTCCAGTCGTATATTTGGATTAATAAAAAGGATTTATAAGTTCTTTCCGTGTCGAGAAATTGAGCTGATTTTTGTGCTATTCATGTCAAGTTTTAAATGTACTGCGCAGTAGTGAGTAAAAATGTACTCCCATGTTTCTGTACATATTTTTATTTTTGTTTGTTTTCGAAAAAGACAGTGCTTGTAAGGTTCGGGGCTACTTGTTTTTCAAAACCTATTTTCATTGTTCCGACCATTGAAAATGGGGAGGAACTTTGTATTTCGGTGTGTTTTAATTTTTTTTCCACGCAAAACCAGATACCACAAATAATCATCGGACTGGGTTGAGTGATATATCATATTAAAGCCTTTGCAGACGTGATTCGAATCACATTAAAAAAGATAATTTTTTTTCTACGTGTTGAAAACTATGTTTGAAGTTTTTTATTTTTCGTCTAATTTCGAGCCAATAAAGCGAACGAGCAGTCTTATTTTAACTGCTTAAAAACTTACAATAGCCTAATTTAAAATGTAAAAACTTAGTTTTACTTGAGTAACATTAGTTAACTTGAGTATTGTAGCGCCTTTTTGGAATCAAAATTTTCAAAATTCAGAAACTGCAAAACTTGGAAAAAAAACATTGTGTGCCACTTGCACAGTAACCGGCTATCCTTGTTGTTTTATAGAATAGTTTAGATTTCTAGACCGAAGTATGTAGTTTTTTTTGTCTTCGAACTAGAGATGATATAGACTAAGTTTTTCCGCCAATGCTTCAAATACTTCGATGGCTTTTCGCAGTTTTGAACTTTGACCTGCACAAAACGTCAAGAAAGTAATTCTGTGACTTGTGAATCACGTGCAAATATTGTACATTTTGAAGTTTCATATCAGTATGATTGACTTACAGCCTCTTCTTGAAAAGTATTGATTTTTAAGGAGTTTGGGCGAACTCCAACTTACTCGCCGTCCAGGGTAACATTGCCCAAAATCCCTTTTTGTTGATTCTGCATTTCTCCCCCATAATTCACCCTCCCTCTATTCTCCACAAACAACACTATAAAGTGCCCCGTCTGCAGCCCGACCTCAATATCCAGGCTTCTGGCTTCCTTGTGATCGTTATCCAGGGTCGCGAGGTAAGTTGCAGCGGAGTGGTTATGAGACATGGCGGTTTGAACCAAAACTCGATCTCCGATTCCGTTCACAGGAAATGCAAGAGTGACGTTTTTCGGGTAGTCTTTCTTTAGTTCGTATCTGTACATAACGAACCCATAGTCGAACCCAAGTTCCTCCATGGACTTTGGATACTTTGCACTTTGGTAGTCGTCTTCGTTTGCAATGAAGTCAAAATAGATCAACAATGTTCCTTTGGAGGCCAGTTTTACCCCTTTTAAGGAAGTTTTGGTCGAATTTGCAGGAACTGGTTCAACAGGGGTAGGAAGGTATTTTGCGACAGTGTCTTTGATGGCAAAATATTTCCAAGTCGTGTCTCCCGATTCGCTGATTGGTGAGTCATAATCGTATGACGTAATATCATAGACATCAACATCATCACCTAAAAATGCTTAATGAATTGCTGAACCTTTGATTAGCGCTTAACTGCTGTTTTCTGGGATATGAAATATTGGTCCAGAATCTCAAACAACGAGCGCAAATATTGATAAAGGTACGATCTGATCGATGAGCGATATTAATGCGATACGTCCGATGATCTTGACTAAGATACCTGAGTTAGATCCGCTCCAGTAGGCGAAGTTCGTTCCACCTACGTACATGTAGAAGTTGACTGAAGCGTTGAGTGCGAGTATTTGGTCCAGTGTTTCAGTTACAGAGTCAGTGGAAATGTAGGTGAAAGGATATCCCCATTGGTTCAACCAACCTAAAATGTGCTCATACAATCAGAATAGAAGAAAGAAAATACTTCGTACGTTTTTTTTTTATCTCGGTTGTGATTGGCTCACGTTTTTTTTACTTTATGACCTTCGTTTGTGATTGGCTTACGACTTGTCTACTTTATGACATATCTACTTTTTGACCGCACTCCAACATTCTCTTAGCCAGACTTGGTTTTTTGAAAAATATGCTTGGCAACATAGGTTGGCGAGGATTTAGATATTTGAAAAGTTACCATGAGTGCTTCTCATGTTATCAAGGTCTTCGTTTGCTTATGTGGCAAATGACTGTTTTAAAAAAGTGTTTGTGGTTTTTAGATGTTAATTCGCGTGAGCTATGTTTTTTTATTTGTTGAAAAATCAACTGAATTACCAGTGTAAAACTCGGAATTAACCAGTGGTGCATAAGGCTGGAACTTTTCCTTATCCTCGAACTCTTCTGCCGGATCCCCGCCAGTTCCAAAGTCCACAGTAACCAGTTCGGATTTGAGAGCACCGCATTCGAGATAGCCTGTTGAGTATCCTAAAATAAATGATTGCAAAGGGTGAAAAAGAAATAATTCGTCGCTGTAATAACTGACGCCTTTATCTACTTCAACATTCAATATCTGGAAGACAGATAAAAGATCTATCGAAGGAAATTTACCATCTGTTGTGAACAAAACAACATCTGGACCCAGATGCTCTCTGAACTTATGAACCAGGTGCTGCAAATACGCCTTATCACAAGTGGGATAACTGCCATACTCATTTTCAAACTGGACTGTTATAATCGGACCCCCATTGTTGTACAGATAAGGTTCCAATTTTGGCAGTAATTCGTCCATCCAAGCGTCAACGTAAGCGAGGTACTTGGGATCGTAGGATCGTAGAATGACTTCACTATTTTGTCTGAGGAACCAAGGGAACCCCCCGAATTCCCACTCGGCACAAGAATAGGGACCTGCTCGCATTATAACCAGGAGTCCGGTGTCATTGGCAAGTTGCAGAAAGTGTTGGATGTCGCGATCTCCGGTGAAGTCGTAGACGCCTGAAAAAAAAACTTTTTTTTTCAAAAATTTGCGTTGAAGTTTGACCAGTAAGTGCCAATTGATTGAGGCTGAGGCAGCAATTCTCTGTCAAGAGCTACCAGAAAAATGCATGTTGGTCCTTTTAATCGAGGTTTTAAATTTCGTTAATGTCAAGGAGTTGAACATGGTCTGTTGTTTTCTTGCTCTTCTGAAGTTCCAATGATCTCAATATCTCCTGAATCTACGCTATATTTGTAAAAGTTTAAATTATCCCACAGTTTCGTTTCTCCTGTTCTTTACTGATGAGTAAGTGTCTTACTTCATAATACCAAGGAGTTTATGAGTACGCATGCTATCATCATGATACTCATTGGATGAGATCAGTTGTCGTATCTTATTTAATGTAGGTTTAGCTAATTTTCCTATTCAGTATTTCTATTGAAGTTTTGATAAAAAATCATTTTTTCTATTCAGTTTTTAAAATTTTGATGAACAGTTTTTAGTTCAAACGATACTCGCCTTCTTTTTGAGTATGGAAGTTCCACATGATGTAAGTCTGCACCGCATTCAAACCTCCCGCTTTTATTTTGGTCAGCCTGTCCTGCCACTGGCTGCTAGGTGTGCGCGAGTAATGGAAACTCCCAGAGACGTATCTGAAAGGCTCACCATCTTTGAGAAATTGTTTGTTTTCCCAATCCACTAGAAATGATCGGTCAGTCGAGCAGAATTTAACTACAAGTACTAGTAATATAAAAGGCTTAAGAAGTTGATGCATGATTTGAGACATCGTTTGAAAATTGCAAATGTTGTATTGTTGGGCAGAATTAGTCAAATCGTTCAAATATTACTGAGAAGGATTTGAAATGTGTCGTAGATTACAAGATATATTTGAGTTAGTTATTATATGATGTATAATCCAGGTATGCTAATATTTGTTTTCTTAGATAATGAAAAGTTCAAGTTTGGCTCTAGTCTGATGCTTTCGAATGGTATATTTAGAGGTTGTTCAAGAAGGTATGAAATTACCAAATTATGATGGTCAACTTTATCAATTAAATTCAGCATGTATTGGATTTATTTTAAGCTAGCTAAAATAATTGATCCGTTGAGTTTTACTTCCTTGAGAGATTGAAAATATGACGATATTTTTTGTTACTAACCATCTTTTTATTAAATTGTTTGACCGGAACTGAGATGATGTTGAGCAGAACAGTTCAAAAACATAGCTTGGAAGTTTTAACCTTTTTGATTTGTTTTCTCGGACCATTATTATTTTTTTAAAACCACCAATAGTTGTTTTACTACTTTCAAAAACATTGGGACTTGAGACAACCTTGTAAAACTGTGTTCATACCATGAAACACTTGGAAAAAAGAAATTAAAAATTTTCCACAAAAATTTAGTAGACTTGAAAAAGCCTGTTTTGTTTCAGGCCACAGCCAAGCGTACTTTTCTGTGCCAGCAGTGTGGAGAAGACTCCCTCTGGATAGATCCCAGTCACATCCGGGAGAGAAACGAATGTCTGAACTTCTTCGCTGAAGTGTACGGATACATGCCGCTGCTCTCCACACAATTCAGAGCAGACTCGGTGCTGTATAAGAATGTGATTCCAGAACAAGATTTGGAAACATGTTTTGACAAAGTGTAAACAACTGGCTATAAAAAAAAATAGAAACAGGAACTTTCGATCGAGTTTTCATCAGTATTTTTTCTGCGGCCTAAAGTATTGGCAAGTTTCGTCGATCAAGTTTTGGATTTATCTGACTAAAAACGAACTTATTTCAGTAGCAAAACCTATTAAGTTGATAATCATTTAAAAAGTTTAAGTTCAAATAATCCAACATCAGAACAAAGCAATAGAAATCCGAGTAAAAATGGATGAAAAATGTTATCAGCGTTTTCAGTTCGAGGATGACTACAATTAAAGAAAAGAATACTAATTTACTGTTTTATTTGAATTCAGAGTTGTAAAAATAGACTAGTCTATACATCAGATTTATCTTTTCATCTTCTATTGTGCGAGTAGTGTTAGTGCTGTTTTATAGTTTTATAAATTTAATAGATCACTTTGCAGCGTTTGATTCTAAATTTAATTTAGTATTTTTAAATAAATTTTTCAAAGGTCTAAAAAAATTTCGGGATAACTATACTGGGTTTTACACAAGCGAGCATAGTTTTATAGTACGAATCCACTTCTTTTTCTAACCCAACTCCTAAATAAAATTTGGGAATTTTTGCTGCATAGCATGGCAATTTAAAAGATTGTGTTCGACGGCTAGTCTTTTGAAAGCTTCGAGAAAACATGACGCAGATGCGAGGAAGTGATACTCAAAATCTCAAGGTCGGATGTTCGAGGCAGACAGGTTGCAATTTTTTTCCAAGGCGTATTTTTCCCTTTTTTCCTGATTTAACTATGTTGCCGTGTTAGAGCTGCTTTTTAAGAGTCAATGAACATAGTGAAGAATCTTATAAAGGTCGGGTTGATGTTTTGTTTGTTTTTAATTTCAGAGAAAAGTTTGAAAAAATTTTACCACCAGTTTGATTTTCGCGGTTTTTACAGCAAAACGTAAAATTCTCAATAAATTGTGATTGACTCATTTTTAATTTCGAAAGTCGATTGTAACTATCGATTTTCGAAACTAGAAATCAGCCACATTTTTTTGTGTTTTACACTTTTGCTGTTAAAACCGTGAAAATCAAACTGGTGTGAACAATTTTTTAAAACTTCTTTTTTTTCTGAAATTATCAACAAACAATCATCCTGATCTTAATAAGAGTCTTTACTAGTTCACTGACTCTTAAAAAGTTATACGAGCAAGGCAACAGTCGAATAAGAAAAAAAGGAAAAATAAGTTTATAAAATTGATCCAATTAGAGAAAACTGGACCAACAGGTACTTAGTAATTCTTTCATTCACTCATTCACTTTTTCCATTTGTCTGTTGAATGTTTTCCGTTTTTTGCTTGTGTTTTGCTGCTTCGTCTCAGTGTTTACAGAAATTTTTCAACCGATTTCCGAGCGTATACTTTCTACTTTTTGATTTCCCAAATTATTCACAAGGTTTAGAAGTTGAAATTTTTTATCCATGAAGGATTGGACCAACATACGAATTGAACATCTCTTTACATCGAACCGCTGTTGTGCACCGTACCTTAAAATGCCATGCATGTTTTGGCTGAGTAATGTCTAAATTTCAAGCACGGAGTTTTGCATTTTTCTACATTTGCGAAATGCAGCTTTGTTTCTATAGGAGACATGCAACGTTTTTTTTTCAGAATTATAGAAGTTGATAGTGATAAGTTTTTCTTAAAATACTCAGCTTTTTTCCAAAAAAAAGTCTAAAAATTGCTCACGCTCTAATTCGATTTTTTGGGGCTTGAAATTTTCTGATTTTTCTACGCCAAGGTTCTTCGCTCGAATCCGGTCTAGCACTTGTTTGTAAACCTAAAATAATAACAATTGTAAATTGATCGGTCTATGGGCTGTCTGCTTATGGTTTGTCAGCCTAGTTCCCACATTTTTTTTTTCAATTTTACTTATGATAGAGAAATTTTCATTGAAATTGAAAATAATTTTTGATTCTTTGGTGTTATTTGTATGGTTAAAAACTCGGAGTTAATTTAATATTTCTTTGTTGATTTTTTATATTAAAAGCTTTATTCGTTCTGAACAGTCTCGGCCTATGTTTTATTGGTTGAAGGACCTATTTTTCAGTCATACGAAAAAGAAAATAGATTTTTCAACCTATTGCGTGTTTCCGAAGAAGGAGGGCCGTAAAAATTTGTAATTTCAGCTTAAAGTTTTTAAACAATAACATTTTTTACAGTTTTTTGACGCAATGGGCATTTACCTAGGTGTTCTCGGGTTTTTTTTTGCTGCTCGATTAATTTTTTTGAATACTTATTCGTTGCCAACGGCTATTTTGTTGAGTGTGCTCGTCTCAAAATGAACATCATTCGCGACAAAAACTTGGAAAATTTTGTTCATGTAAATATTGTTTTTACACAAGCAATGCTTGTTATAGTATGAACTATCTTTTTTTTTCAACCGAAGTCGCAAATATTGTTCCGACGCAAATATTGTTGTGATAAATTGTGTTCATTTTGAAAGTTTTCATTTTGATCAATAACTAGCTATTAAGTACAGCCAATGCGAAGGATTTAAACACAGACTTTTCTTGTTCCGACTTTCGTAACGAAAGTAACGGAATATTTCTGCTCGGGTGCTTTCTTCCAGACAAATTTCGACTTTTGACGGGATTTTTAAAAATCATTCAAATAGTATTGTTGTCCTGAGTTTAAATTTGGAAAAATATTTCACCTGTGATTCGCCTCTGATTTCGTGAAGTTATGGGGACATAAAAGTTGCCATTTTGGGCAATTTGGGACAACGAACGCGCGATATTTTTCTCGCTATTAACGCGTAAGCGGAGATTTAATCCGTCAAAAAAATTGTTCCAAATTGGTTGAAGGAAGCTTATTTGCCATAATTGATTTGTTACTAGGAGCGAAATTTATCACTTTGTATTTAGTATGGCGTGTGGGGGAATTATTTTCACAAAAAATCTCAAATAAAAAAAAACATTTTATTTTTGTAACATTTTTTTCATGTTATTACTGTTCCATAGGCTGCTCTATAAATTGAGGCAGTTCAGTTGGTAATTTTCTTTTTTTTTTCAAATTAGCTGGTACTGCTAATGCGTCATAATTGGAGTGCGTCACTTAAGAAATTTTGTAGACTCAAAGTTTTAGTCATTCAGTATTTCACAGTAGCGTTATCAGTCATATTTTGCGCTTGTGTATGCGAAGTGCAACTTCGCTTCTGTGTAAAAAATTTTCCCCAAGTTTTTTTGGTATCGCAAGTGGTACAAGCCCGGTTTCGCCTTTGTGTTTAGTTCAGTTATTTCTTCTTTTTGAAAAGAAAGCATACTCCCTTATCGGATAGCAAAATTGTAAATCTCATGAAAAACATGATCAACGTCTAGTTTGGACAATTGATTTTAGTTTTAAGATTTTCCAGAGGAATAAAAAATGCCTCATGATCCAAATTGATTTAATTGTATCAAAAAGTGCAAAATATTTTTTTCGAGAAATTCAAAGCTTTTTCGAGGCATACTTCGTTCTCAAAATTTTTCAGACAGCAAGCCTGTTTTCGTTGCTTGCGTTCAATGACAATTTTCCAACTGTCAGTTGGATGTATTATGCCCTTTTCCACTTTTCATACATGCGAGCTAGCGAGCGTATCGCATTATTATGACTCACAATCGCAAATAAAACTGGTCATTTGGTGACACTTTGCTATAATCACGATTTGAAGCATTGAAATTTTTGTAGCATATCATATCTTCTCCTCTTTATCTGTGGCTTGCGCTTGCTAATTCTGTGGCTTCCGCGACTGAGAGAGGAAAATCGAGAATTTAAGTCTTGAAGTCTCAGCATGGAATCCGACCCATAGCAAATTTGTTTGTTTTTGACTTATATCTTCTTTTTCTTGTTTCACTTATAGAGTTGCTTTTTCTCGCTAGTGTTTGCAAAGCGCAGCTTCGCCTCTGAGTAAGGTCGTACTCGGATTGTTTTTATATTGAAAAAGTTTGAGTTTAAAGAATGCGACGTCAAATTAAGACAGTTAGTTAGAATCTGCTGGTCGGTAAATGACGAAAATGTTTTTTTTTCTGATGAACCGTAGGAAACTGAGTTCTAACTCAGCAAAAGAGATTGGAGCCCAGTTTCGTTGTGTCAATAGTAGCCATATCCTTCCGTTTTCAGCATCAAACTTTCATTTCAGAATTTTTTTCTTAAAGTTCGTATAAGGGAGCGTACTTTTGGCGTTTTTATCTGATGCAAGGATGACAAATCTCAAAAAACGTTCGTTCTTTGAATATGCGAATTTATTGCCGCTAAGTTGTTTTTGTCCGTTTTATTGCCGAGTTATGAAAAGCCATCCAATTCCTTAATTATTTACGTAACTTAAAATTCTTATTACCCGTACAGTTATTCAACATTAAAAAGATATAGTTTTTCCAATAAAAAATTGAGTTCAAGTTTTAAATTTATCAACCGTAATTTTCTTTCTTTATTAAAAAAAAGTAGTTTTTCCATTCAAACACAGACTGTTTAACCGATTTCTTCAAAAACGATCATTCATTCTTAAACGCTTGTCGGTAGTAATATTTAATAATAGCATCTTCGATGGTAAAAGTAATCAGCCCTTTTTGCAATCGAAATTTTGAACTCAATCTGGACTCACTTATTGCGCTTTTTTGCTCTTTCTCTTACGTTTTTTAAAAATGCTTATCAATCCTATTTTTGACTCAGAATCCTGGACTTGTAGAATGATATGAACGATTCGTGCTAAAATTACTCCAGCAGTAACTAACCCGAAATCACAATGATGAACCTCTTAAACTCAATTTGGATATTTGAATTTACTGAAAATTTACCAACGTATTTACCAAAAAAATAAAGCAAAATGTTTTCGTTTTCGATCCAAATATTCGCGAAGTGATTTTAAAAAAAAAAGATAAATTCGAAAAAAATATATTCAGTAAATTCAAATATTCAAAATTGAGTTTAAGATGTTCATCATTGTGATTTCGGGTTAAGTTCTGCTGGAGTAATTTTAGCGCAAATCTGTCTCAGTCGTTAAGTCGAATGAAAAGTTGTTATCAATGACTCTCATACCTTTTCGGTTATGAAGTTAGTTTCCGCAAACAGGTGCAGCAATTTTCTTCTTGTCTCGGATATATCTAATTTGGCACCTTAAGTTTTTGCTCAAATGGAAGACTCAGAGAAGTAAACAATGCGTTGTCGAGAGAATTATCTATCTATCAAATATTCGGCTGGCTTTTTTGGCTTTCTTTGTCTATCCATTAAGTTGAAAACCGTTTTGATATAGAGTTTTCACGGAATATAAAAGGTTAGTTTTTGTGACAAAAGTAAATTGCATATGCTCTTGGGCCGTAAAAGTGGGAATTGAATTTCAATTTGTATAAAACTTTTTTCACTGTTATCGGTAAGACAGCTGCATTAAATATCTTTCAATGCTTTTTCCCTAGAAATGTCATAAGTTTT